TATGAATTTCGAGTCAGAACAGACTAACTGGGACACAAAAATGTTTTAGTTTTCCTGCAAAGTGATCTGAAGGAAAGTGGTAATTGAGTTTAAGTTTGAGTATGGAATGTGAAATAATACCCATAGTAGGGGACGGAAACTTATTGTTTTGATCAATATAATTTATTCTCTATAGCCACCAGAACAATCATTGGGGAAATCCGCTTGCAAGTTGTACAGATAATTGCTACCATAATGATTGGTAAACATACACACATTTTATCGTAAGTGATTTAATCTTACTCAAGATCAGTGTTCGACGTCCAAATTTTACCTTCTCGAGATGGCGAGTACGCTGGGATATTTGGAACTACAATTTATCAGTGAACTATACCCTAACTATATTTTTTCGAGTAGGCCTACACAGGGAAGTTGCTTGAGAAACTGTGACTTACGATTTCGGTTCTGGCGAAGAAGTATCTGACTTGATGTTTAATGGTAATGTTGACTCGGGTCATATTATAGCGTCATAAAACTTTACCATTAACCCCAGGATGTGAAAAGTACAAAAAGAAAAAGAAAAGGTAGGCCTAATCATTAACCAGGCGTAAAGAGACATACAGAACAAAAAAAAAACATGTAGAGAACCATCAAACTAAAAAGGTAAAGAGCAGTGATAGTGTTAAATGTGCTCTGGAAGTCCCTTCTAAAAAATACCAATTTTTTTTAATTTGGGTCGTTAGATTGGATTTGTCAGTATACCTGTGACTGCAAATCTATGAATTTTGAGTCAGAACAGACTAACTGGGACACAAATATTTTTTCCTTATGTTGTCACAAGGGGAAGGTAAAATGAACTCCTTATCAACATTTAGAGTTTATGGAAAATCTTATCAACAGCGACTATAAAAAAAGTATTAAGGGACAAAAGAGACAAAAAACTACTTGAGTAAAATATAATACAAATCTGCATTTGAAATGGCCAGTTCTAAGTCTTACTTGAATCAACATCTTTCTGTTAGTGGTAGTCTATATAGGTAGTTTTAAAATCCACGACTCATTTTCCATCGAATTGGACCGTTAATACCCTCTAACATTGAACAAAGTATGCCCAACTTTATATATACGACGTAAACACAGCTTTTACTCACAGTATGGGTCAAAGATTCGTGAAATGCGACCAACTGCTGATGCGTGATTTACATGTAGGCTAGGTGACTATCTTTATTCCATACAACAAATGTAATGAAAAAAAAACGACGAATATAGGAATATACTTGAGCAAATTATCTAAATAGCATAAATAGCTGCTTATTAGGTTATCAGCATTGCCCAGTTCGTATACTATTTATTTTTCAAATGAAACTCGAATTAATATAAAACATTCATTTGGTTAAAATAATATATCGGTTTGATTAACATAAAATAGTTTATACAGGCAAACTATCAGTTCTATTTCATGTAAAAAATTAAACTACTCCTAAATAAAATACAAAGATAAATAGTATTTGTTAATTATTATTTCTTTTATTGCTGACAATATTCCCGTTGCGGAGCACGGGCGGTTAACTAGTTTGACAAAAATCGCACAAAACTGCATTTTTGAACGTCCGTAATTTTATTTACAAAGTAGTGAGGCTATATTTAAATCACTAAAGACACTCTCGCCAATCCAGTGAATACATTAAAATGACTTGGATCTTGATAGGTACTCTGGTTTTCACGGAGAAGATTGCGTAAAATGCCATCTTGAGTGTTACAGACAAAGGGAAAGACAGACAGACAGACATACAGACAGAAATAGAGATAAGACTCGTTTCTGCTTCTTTAATGTATAAAACTTAAAAATAACCTAAAAGTATATAATTCTGAGCAAAGTACAGACAAAACTCTAATTTTATTTATATAGAAGAAGAAGATATACAAAAGATTACTGGACTTTGTTCAGTGTTAAAATTTCATATTTTAATGACAGTGTACAATAACTTCCTTACTGAAGATGTTTGAACCGTTTATAATTTTACAGAGGCCGTTAAGTTGTTGGGTAAATCTAATAGAGGAGTTTAGATTAGAATAAAATTAATCAGGGCTATATATACACACACATTATAGTTCAGTTAGGTCCTAATGGAAATGTAACTTAAAGAGGGGACAGGGGAACTTCCGGTGAATATTTATGTTTGTTATGGATTGGACCTATCCCTGGAATTACTAAAATTTTAAACATCACTTATCAAACTTATAGTTCATTAAGCTATCTCATCATTGATTATTTGCCAAAGAAATCGTCATCAAACAAATCAGCTACCATTATGTATGTGAGTAGCCCAAACTATTGAAGATTGAATTGGGGACGATCCGTCACGTGCCTGTGGTGCGGAGTGTCAATATTTTGCATCTATCATTGTCAATGATTTACCTGTTATGGCTTTTCCTAGTGGAAATTAAAAATTCAATTAAGCTTTTATAAAATAAGGATATCAAGTTAAAAAAGAAAATAACAACCAAGAAAAGAAATCTATGTATTGTTTCTAAAAACGCCAACTTTGTTTATACTGAAATATGGAATCCCCCACTCTATAAATATCCCCAGTGTTTTGTGTTAACTCATGATTGTCATTTAAACTAATTCGTTGATAATATATATTTTTTGTTGACAATATAATTTGTTGTATTTTTTTTAAAGAGGTTGGCGGCCTCTTTTAACCTTGCATTTGCTCGTCCATATAGACTAAGCGCCCGTGCGTGGATCGTTTACAGCAAAGCAAGGAGTGAGCCGGTACAGTACAAAGGTGAACTGTTCTGATAAAATGTTATCGGCAGTGACCAGGATCCGAACCCACGACACTACTGCCTTGGGCCCGACTGCGACTGAGCCACCGACTCACTATAGTAAATTTTAAAATTTTTCATTGGAATGCACAAAGTTGTTAGTATTCAAGTATTTCATAATCAATGTATCTTTTGGAAAAGAAAAATTAAAAAATATGCATTAAACATTTTAAAACTTGCAACGAAATAACATAAAATAATATACTAACTAATTGTTGCAAAGTATTTCTAGTTGGACTCTGTTCTTTTGCAATTTACAAAATTAAGGCAGCTATGGGAAATATTTTTTTAACTTTTAACTCTTCTAGAATTTCCATAGCAACAAGGTAAATGTTCACTCTGAATTCGATTTGATTTTGATAAACAAGTCTAATGATGTGTTCTGTGTTTGACGTTGAATCTCTCGTCGAGAGGAAGCCCTCGAGGATGCGTGTCATCCTTCCCGACCTTGTCCGTGCTCTGCTCTACATAACAGGTATCATCTTGTGTATTTTCTTTCCTACAGTCCCGTTTGCCAAGTGGATCTCTGCCAAGTTGTGGGACCTTTTGAAGCAGCTTGTGAGCAAATACTGCAACACTCCTGAGATGCCAGACGACAACATAGCTTAGCTGAGGTAAAAATTTACCAGACTCTACCAGGCATGAGCCACAAGCTACGGACTACATTGACTGCTGACTAAGGACTGTTGCCTACAGAATGACGACTATGGACTGTTGACTACGGAATGCCGACTATGGACTGTTAACTCCAGAATGACGACTATGGACTGTTTACTACGGAATGCCGACTACGGACTATTGACTACAGAATGCCGACTACGGACTATTGACTACAGGATGCTGATTGCTGACTTCTGACTATTATCTAACGACTACTGACTACTTGACCAGAAGGCGGGCTGATGACCCAGGATCCCCTCACACCATCGTAACATCTTATGGGAAGCCCGCCTACATCACATGACTCCGATCTACAATACTGACCAGGCTACTATCTACTACACACTAGAGATTGAGGAAGAACTGCACTACAAGCACAATGACTACACACTTTGAGGGGGTCCAAACCCTGGTCTTGTTACTATCTAATTATTTTCATCAATGTGAAACTGATGATTGAGGGCAAATATGAATTTCAGAGTTTTTCCAGTAATAAACAGTTTATAATAATGTTTAAGTGGTATTCTTGCATATTTTCTTAAGAGACTCAATGCTATTAGATGAAAATTATGTATTTAATAGAAACTATTTTGGTTTAACTACAATATCCAGACAATCACTTACCCTCAGTATCGGTATCTTTCTAACGTATATATTGAATCATTATACATTAAAATTTGGAATATAATATATTGAATCATTAATTAAATAATAATGACAGAAATAGTGTCATAATAACGTACCTTGTCAGACAATCCTTAACACGGTCTATAGTGTTGTTTAAAACTTGCTACATATTATGTTTTGGCGGTTTTTTATAACTCCACCACATCAGGCTAACAAAAGAATCCACTTCTTGGTGTTTTGTCAGAATAAGATATACACATTTTATTTTACAAATAACAGAAAACACAAAAGCGATGAAAGATATACCATAGATAAAACATACTCCCTTAGTAGATTTCTCATCCTTATGGAACAGCTGAAGACAATTTTATTGTTAGTTCTGTACGGTTTTCTGTAGAGGTCGTGTTTTGTTTACAATTTGTTTCCCGTTATTACAGCCAACCTCGTTTAACCAAATAATACGATCTAATCATAAACAATAACCTGTCCCCTAGTTATATAACCAAACAGTAAAGCACAAATCAAGAAATTAACCCTAAAATAATAGAAACAAAGTTTCGTCGACACTAGCGCCCATGTGTCACGTACATGAACTAGACACGAAAAACGTGCTTCAAAATTTACAATGGGATGAGAAGTCTACTTGTGTTGGTTAGTCTTTGGATATACCTATTAATTACATGTGTGTATATTGCCACCGGCAGGAAACGTGCAGCAAGTTTTAAACAACACTATGTTAAGGATTGTCTGACAAGGTATATTTCACCATTATTTGTGATAAAAACACAATCCAGGGGCAATCAAAATGAGAATTACTGTATAATAAATAATACTCTTGGACCGTTACAACTTAAAGTCCCATGAAAGAAAACCATGGTTAACAACATCAATAGAAAGAAAAATACTCTTTAAAATGTTTATATTTATTACATAAAAAAGATATATAACATATTTTTATATCTATTTATTGTATATTTTTTATACAGGAATAGCAAATATCACAAGTGTTATAACCTAAGGGCTTAACACAATACAAGGAATAATTTATAGATTTGAATACATTAAAGCGTTCTGTAGAGCGTTCTCAAGAGTTTAACCAGTCGTCGTCTGCTTCTTCGTCTTCGAACAAAGGAGGAGGGGGCGGCTGTGGTCGCCAAACCTGCAAAATATATTTTTTTAATCAATGAACTAAATATGTATGAATTAAACAGATCATGGAATTCAATGTTAAAATATCTTTTGAAATATCTAATTTGTAACTTGATTTTTCTACACAATAAAGCTTGGTCACCATCAACTTGTAGAGAAAGTGTGAAATTTGTTATAGCTTGGTTGGAATTAAAAAGGCCAAATCCAAATTTGAGCCAACTTCTTTATCAGCATCGTACGTGTTATTAAATTACCCGAAAGCATAATAAGTATGTCAAATAACACTTGTAATAATATATTTACACTTATACTATTTAATCACAAGACGGTAACATACATATAAAAGGTGGTAAGTGGTCAATTTCGATTGGACACTTCAATCATCATCAGACCCAATAGGCGAATGATTTGGTCTTCCATGCGCCTATTGAGTCTGATGATGATTGGAGTGTCCAATTGAAATCGATCACCACCTGTTATATGTATTTACTGTCTAGTAAGTAAACAGTATAAGTGTAAAAATATATTATTACAAGTGTTATTTGACCTAATTATTGTGCTTTCAGCCAACACCTTTGTAGATATACAAGTGGCTGACAAGCATTTTCATTTGAAGGTCCTCAACATAATCTTACCGAGGAATTTGATGATAATTTACCTGAATCTCCTCTATATGAGGCGGCCAAGGAGTGAAGGAGGAAGTGGTAGGGTCCATGGAAGAATGGAATAGAGAAAGAGGATGATTGGACATCTTACTCTGCGACTGAGCTATGTGCAACAACACTCGCTCTAGCTTCTCACTTACCAAACTCTGAGTCTGCGGATAATGTTAGGTGTTCAAACAACATATTATGTAGAAATTGCTATAAGTGATGAGTCAAAACTCTAATCTTTGATTGACGAGTATCAAAAATCAAAACTTGAAATTGCAGAGTTTTTTCTGACATTATTATTGTTTTTACAGAAATCGTGCCCTTATATCTTTTCTAGATAAGGTTAAAAGCATTAAATTCTTCTGACATCAGACGTCCATCTGTCATGAGACGTCTTAGATAAACCTAAACATAATTCCTTTCTTTTCACTATTCCTCTTCCAAATAATTGTGTAATACCTATTTATCAAATCTGTTTAAGGAAACAAACTAAAGCTTTGGGGTATTTTATTACTAAGAAACTATACAGATCAGTCATGCAAAAGAAATGTATCTATATTATTAAAAGAATTTGCTGGATTTTTTTTTATTCAGCAAATCGACGACTAAATATTTATTTTCATTGGCATAAGTATACATTTAAAGCTCGTATCCTCTAGATGTGACTTTTGGTGGTTTGGATGATATCCTGAAGAGAAAAGAATTTATTTATAAAAATAAATACATCTGCCTTAAAAAATAAGGTTGCCAATGACACAGAAAAAAATGTACACTTAAAATATTGAAGGATTATATAGCTACAAGACTGATTAATTTTGATGTTTGCCATATAGATGATTTCTCATTATGGTCAATGAATCTCTTAATGTTTCATGAATAATAATTTTCAAAAAGGATCTGTCCAAATCATATTGTTTCCAAAAGTTCACAACAAATTTTTTGATAATGTTCCTCTAGAACCAATAAACAATAAAATCACATCAATTTTCGAAATTTTAAAATTTTGCTTGAAATATTCAAAGGTAGATTCATAAATGCCTTTGTTAGTTTCTCTTTCGATCAATAAATATATTGTAAATCAATATTGTAAATAATTCAAAAAATTCAAATATATCACAGGTTATGAAGTCACGAAGTGACGCTGGCTGCTAGTGTTTCCCCTATTATATTTGAAATTAAAATAATCTGTATAGGAAATGTGATTGTTTGTGTCAAAAACATTCATAAATATTGATATGTTTTGAGTTGACTATTTGTATTTCGAAAAAGTTTTAAAAATTATTTTTGAAAACCCTTAGATGAAATTAGAATATTTGTGTGAATACTTACATCATCTGATGATTCCTCATTGGTGTCAGGCACACATGTTGCAGGACCTAATTTGGCTGAAGAGTTGCTAACAATATTAGCCTTTTCGTTTTCACTGTCAGACTTCACTTCTGATTGGTTTTCTCCAGGAACTGTATCAACTAAATTGAAAACATAAAAGAAATGTTTGAATAAAAGACCCAATATTAAAAAAAAACAAAAAAAAATAGAAGTTGTAGATTTAACCTGTTTACCCTTTAGTTCACCATTATAATGAAAATACAGCCTCTTTTATCTCCCATTTACCTGTCCACAGAGGCGTGTATGTTTGTAACTTAGTGTATCCATCACAACAAGGGGTGAGCCGGTGCAGTACAAGGGTGAACTGTACTGATAAATAGTAGTTGCAGGCACCAGCATCCAAACCTACGACATCGCTGCTTTGGGCCCAAGTATGTGGCCCCTACTGACCGAGCCACCGACTCGCTTATTTATCATTACTTTACAGCATCATTATTTAAGACAGTGATGAACACCAAGGTACATATGAATGCAAGATGAGTGTAGAATAGACTGAGGTTATCTGTTTAGCTTTGTATTTGCTCCCTTGAATTATAAAATAAGACAATTCTGAATTGTATAGATACCATAGTTTATTGATGTTAGGGTACGTTGACCGACCTAATCTTGCTTCAAAATATAATGGCCTCTACATAAAGCACAGCTTACAATTTTAAACATGTAAATTGACCTATCCAAAAGTAGAAAGGAAAATTCTATTTAAAGAGGCTAACTGATTTAAGGGACAACAGATTTAAAAAACCCAACCGAAACCGAACGGATAAAATCAGCAATCCACTCATCACAAAACTTCCCCATGATAGGTTACATTCCTTAAAGTCGTCAATCCTAATGATTGATTGATGATCGAGGTGAAGTTACGTAGCCTATTTCTTAAGTTAATTTACCTTTGCCTTCTGTTGTGTTTTGAGCTTGATTATTCAGGCTGTCTTCAGAGGATTGTTGGGTGGATGTTGAAACTTCAGATTTACTTTCGACATCAGATGTAGAGCGCATCTCCTCTTCAACATTCAAATCTTCATGTTTAGTCTGGAACAAAATATTACATTATGTTTTTACACATTTCCTATATGGTATCGTTTTACTACAACAGTCTGAAATATTGTAGGGTATTTTTATAGTCGATCGTAATCCTGATCACTTATTTGAAAATTTGTGAATAGAAGTAGCGTCATATATTAGAAGCCAAATATCTTAGACTAAGCAAATAATTTACAACTAGTGTACCTGTTGCTCGAATTCAAGCAATTGCTAAGTATTACTACATGCGTTATTTAAAACAAATAACAGTCATAATTTCTGATGACTTTAAAATATTGGACTCAAAGATTATGAAAATACTAAAGATGTACATAACAGATCGTAAAACCTTTCCTCTCCCCTTCGTGGGCAAGTTTTCATCCCTTTTCATTCTTAGTTTTTGTTTGTTTCTTTTTTTAAATTTTAATGCCTGTATGTATCCCTTGTCTTTTCCTATTTCCCTAACTACTTTTCTAAACGTCTCAAATTCATCCTTGTCACTCATCATGTTTTATTTTCTCATCTCTAGGCCTATCTTATCCAAGACTTATTCATGTTCTCTCCTATTTGTCTCCTGAAATTTATAAATACGTGACTCGTGTTTTTTATTTCTCCACATTTACATACTTCCTCTTCCACCATGTGAAATCTTCACAAAATCGACTTAAATTTTCCATATCCTATGACAAACTGCGTTTCATAATGGCCCATCTCCCAATCTTGTTCTAGTCTCTTTCTGATGTTAGGTATATATCCGAACGTTTACCTCTAAAACGTTAACATAAAACACTGCTCCCAACGCATTTTCCACTTATCTAATGTCTCCTCTCTTCTGATTCCGATTTAGCACTACCCGCCTCCTTGTCTTCCAAAATCAACAGCTTATGCAGCGATTATCCAACAGTCCTAAATTGAATGTGAAATCTTCAGGCGACTGTTGGAGAGCACGGAACACCAAACACGGAAGGGTGCTTGCTGTATTCGGCTATGAACGACAATAGTATTATTTGTATTTCGTTCGTGTCCACCAGTTAAAGTTCGTCGGCCTCCTCCTATTGGCCGACCTGCTCAACGTCTTAAGTCTCCATTATGTCGAACGTTTTTCTTTTGTTACGTTTTAATTTTGTGAAAAATTTTAGTTTAACCAGCTGTTTAAAACATTAGTGTCTATTTCAAAGTATTCATCTGTTCAAATGTAAACAAACATTTTCTCCCTTAGAATAACATGGGAACTTTGAAGGCCACTGGGGCAGAGCCCTGATGGAATTCCAAAGTTTTTTGTTTGATGGCAAAACTACATGATTAGACCTTTCTAACGACACCTTGAACATGGTGATCGGTAGCACCACCACTCCAAAACAATTATGACAAAAATATGCCTAGCGTATTAAATATATAGATTCAATCAGAGTGGAGTAGAATTTAAACAAGTAAGAGTAAATACAAAATATTGTCAAAAAGTCTTATTTTATATCAGAAACAAAAAATAAAAAATTACAACATAACATAATAGAACCAAATGGCAAATACTACATTTGAAGGAAATGGCCAAAGTTACACATAATATCTAAACAAAACCTGAATATTACAAGAGCATTTTTACTTGCATAGTAAGAAGTAGACCTGGGGGCAATAGAACAATTCATATTGAGCGCATTATTGGGAGAAACACTTTATGTTTATAATAAAACGCTTGCTAGATTGTAAAATAAGATGCCCTTGTAAAATAAAATTTACCTGACCAGAGATGTCTGAAACTGAGTCTATCTTGGTTGCTATCGGTTTCTCTGAATTGGTCAAGTCACTATTCTGGAGATATTGAAGTGTCACAGCCTAAAAAAGAAATATTTATGAGAAAAGTGAAATATGCTACAAGCAACACAAGCACTTATATTACTGTAGCAAAAACATGAAGATGTGAGTGGAATTATCTGTACCCCTCATCTTATATTTGTATTAGGAAAGATTCCTAGATATTCAGAAACTTTGAGTTGATTATTAAATAAATTATGAGACTGTATATTAAAGTGTTGTATTTATTTTTTTACCAAACACTTAATTTATATGCAAAATGTATTACTTTTTCTTTGTTAATATAGGGGTTTTTATTTAAATCTCAACCCAAATTACAAGTAAAAATTTCACTTTTTAGTGTTTAGGGACAAAAAAAGAGCTCTAAGTTGGTTACACTTTTTTGACATTTATTGAATACCTACTGTCATGGTTAGGCTGAAAAAAATTCACTTTTTAAGGTGTCGTAATATTTGTGTATTTAGATTATGACACCTTAAAAATGGAAGGATTGAATAAATGTGTTTTAGCTACTGTAAGTCAATTTAAGTTAAGATCACTTCAATGGTCCCCTAGTAAAATCAGTGATATTTCAGACTTAGGGTGACACCCTAACACACCTTGATGAATATGTAAATGTAAAGAAAGAGAATAAAAACTTCATTCAACAAACCTTAATTGTTTCTGCCAACACAGACTGTATGAAGTTAGCATCATATTTCACTTGGGGCTCAAACTGCACCTTAACCATTCTATAAACAGCGTTTGAAATTTTCTTGATGTGTTCCTCGATGACGGGTTTTGGGTCCATCACCTCCTGCATGTTCCGTCTCACTTCCTCCAACTTGGTTTCCTCACTTTCCTTCAAAGCCTGTTCTAACCTGTCAATACTGGTTTGCTTTTCCCGTATCGTATCTTGCAGCTCTGTAATGGTATTGTTTGCTGTTTGCAAATCACTTTTCAGAGTTTCCTCGACTCTTTCAAGACTCGCCAAACGGTTATTCAACTCCAAAACGCGTCTCTGCTCTTCAGAGACCTGCTTTTGGAGAGAGTTGATTTGAGATAGTTGATCTGGAAAAGTAATAGTAAATGGTAAGTCGTTTTCTACAGTTATTAATTTCATTGGTACGATACAGGGTAGACAAAGTCATTATAACACTATACAGGTATAATATCCGAAGAAAAAATTAATTTACTTAAGAAAGGCATTGAAATATTTGTTTAATATTATATTTACATCACTTGAAAAAGAGTAGCATATATGAGATTAGACTTGTCTATTATAGAAAACTTATGAAATTAACCTTTTATAATGATGCTTTATTAATGTTACCAGTACTGTATGTAATAATTAAGCCTTGATATTAGATAGTGTGACTCGTTAAAATGGATGGAAACTAGTGATGTGTCGATACCAAAATTTATCATTTCTTGATACTAATTTTTTGTAGTTTTACCAAATGTTCTGAATGGATTTCCAATAGTCAATGATCAAACTTAGATCAACATTGACTAAAGTATAATTTTACAATAAATGAGAGTATTTTGCAAGAATTACACTGTTTACCTTTATCAGCAATTTTTGCGTTGAACAATGCATCTTTTTGTGCAGATAAACTAATCTGGAGAAATTCATTTTCTTCCTGAAGCTTTTTAACTTTTTCCTGAAAATTGTAATAGTTAGTTATTCAATAACATGTCAGTTTTACTATGTAGTCTATAAATTTGTTAAAACAACATTACAAAAATTGTAGGGTTGGTGCACTCACCCTACAATTTTTGTAATGTTGTTTTATAAATGGCCATTTAAGCTTGAGTTTCCACTTGTATCTAATATGAAAAGAAAAAATATTCTATTCATCTACAGAGTAGGGGATAACACAAATTCTCCTGTACTTACTAATTTTCCCTCCTTTATATCACCAAATAATGTGTTCGAGATTCTCACGTCAAAGCTAATTTAGTTTGAGCTAATTCTCATGATCCTGTATTATTTAATAAAAATACCCCCGCCGCAGCAAACCTGCCGACTAAGCGAATTTCCATTTGTCTGAAATGATTTTCAATTAAATATATTTAACATTAGGTTTAACAAGTACCTAGGTTTGCTGCAACAAGGGAACTAGTAAAGTGAGTTTTCTAGTAAAATATTAATAGCTGAGTATAAAATAAATAAAATTGCCAAATTTGATAAAAATATATCCATAAACAAGCAAACTATAACATTTTACAATATTCTCCATAAGAATAACATGGGAATTTTAAATTTTCAATTTTTTGAATTTTCTCCGTTACCAATAAATGTACAAAAACACTTTTTCTTTTGTATACTAAATTATTTGTTTTTTTAAGCTCTTTAAAAAAGTATAGAGAGAAATTGGGAAATTTTGTGTTTTGGGGGTCAAAAATGAGAAAACCCAATTTTTACCCCATAAAACGCCCTGTAAAACCCCGTTCCCATGGTCCGATCATGCTGGTTCGCGAACTCATTCAAGTTTATCCCACCTTACACCTTTAAACCAAATTTCATCAAAATCGGACAAAAATTACTCAAGTTATCGCGTTCACGGACACATATATATATATAAAACTATTTGACGATTATTAAAATATAAATTCTAGTGAATGACCACTTTTCATCTAGTAAATTACCATAACCTTCAACCACAGTCTACATTTTATATTAGTTCACATGATGTCAGATGGGATTTTATGTTTCCTAGTAAGCACTTAAAACATCAGAACACATTGTTTCCAAAGCTTTGAAATAAAATTGATCCAAATCAAATCAAGTTGATGACAGAAACAGTCATTCACTGATTCCACCCAATGGTGGGATTCAGTAAATTACCAACTGTTTAAATAATTGTTGGTCAGGATTTTTGTTTAAAGTCGGGTGCAAAATTGTGCATTAACAGGTTTACAGTGAATTACATTTAATATAGGCTATTGCAGCTTCCAATAATTATCAAAGAACCATAACAAAAACAATCCAGCTTTGTTTGTATGAGACGCGACAGTGCTTGAAGATGAACTGGTTGGAGCACTACCTACTTAATTTTGGTTGTGTTACTAAGTGGGTGAGTGAAACTTTCTTTAACCTATGACAGGTTAGACTTCCATTTTACAAAGTTTTAAGCTTAAAAGTAGTAGACGTGGATTTTTGTACACTTTCCTAAATTGCTTTTAGAACTATGCAAACGGTGTTCACTGACAAATATTTGTCCATGTACTATATCTACAAGTCTCATCCAAGTGTGCTTCCAACTTACTGACAGTTCTGTGTTGGTCTGCTGTAGCTGTACACATTTGAGACAAGGCTCCACATCGGACGTTCTTGGTGTAACAGCTGACTGAGCCGTAGACTCTGCACTTGCTCTGTTCTGACTGTCACAAACAACACTGTTGGTGAAATGTTCAATCATAGATACAACGGTCAGAACTATTTAAACACTGTAATTTATTTAGTATGAGTATTATTGATGTGGGCTATCTTTTTTAAGAGTAAATTATTTTGAATACAGACATTGACTTTGGTTAAAAAGTTAGGACATCAACTTGTGAACTGTTGTAAATAATCACATTTATCGAGAGCGGTCATTAGTACAGTAGAAATTGTTGCGTTGTTGTCTCGAATGGTATCAATCAGTCTACAGAACACTAACATTATCGTAATAGATTTTGGTAGCAGCTATCAGCAAATCACAGTGGAAGCCATTTTGAGGGCTTTAAGATACAAAAAAGTCTACACAACACAGTAGGATTTTTTAAGATAGCCTATTATGTTATGTTAGTTTTTAAGTAATATTTTATAGCTCTAAACTATTCCAAATTTATTTCCAATTCAAAAAACTGGAATGACATGTAACACAATAATAAAATCTTTACATCTCGTCGGTAAAACTAAATCTACAACAGTAACATAACTACCTGACAAGTTGAGTGTTTTGTAAAATGGTCAAGACTTGATGCAACTGATCCTTTAAATGTTTCTCTCCGTCCTTTAACTGCTCCAAAACAGGACCAATTCCTAGAGACGGGGGAGCATTTTTAGATTCTTCAACCTAAAGACAGTAAAAAAATAATAGTATGTTTCAACACTAACCTTATCTCAATATTATCTACAGTATGTTTAGATTCAAACATTATTGAAGAATTATTGTTGTGCATGAGTGTGGGGGACAGACTTACATTGCTATGGCAACTACCACACCAAGGCACTAATAATGGTAATGGTTAAGGATTAAGGATTGAGCACTATTGAGTCAGAGTTGAATAATATCTCAGAAATCAGATTCAGGGTGCAACTCATGAGGATTTTATCTGTTTCTGGCAATAAAAAAGGACTAACCTAAAATGGATAAACAGCTTGAGTGGAGGGTTAGTGGAAAAAGAAGATTCTTCGAGGATTTACCTCTGATAATGTATTTTGCTACTTTATCCTTACTGTGGCTTAAAAATTTACTTTTCAAAAATATATGAAGAAAGTAATGTAAGTTTTATTTGTGGAATTAAAACTATTTGAAGGATTACGATGTACAACTAACCTTGGTATGAAGATTATCAACTTTATCAGTCAGTCTTGTCAGTCCCATTCTCAGTTCGGAGTTTGTAGTTCTAACTTCTGACAGGAACATATTGAACTGGGAATGTGACTCTAGCGGAGAGCTGATTTGAGGAACTGGATACATGTTGCCTACCTTAATAGAAAAAGTTTGGTTAAAATCAAGATTGGACAATATTGGCTCTCTAGAAGAATGAACAGTGTAATATCTATATAATTTACAAAGGAGTTCATGAACATCAGTCCTTGCTATAACAAGTTCTGATTTGCGCAATTTCGCATCCACACAATTCACAAAAATGTAGTGCATTTCTAGAATAATTTTTGTTATGAAGTTATTGAAAATAAATTTACTTAACTTTGAATTGTTGGTTTTTTATTACAGTGTTGGTTGAAACAAAAAATGTTTACATAACAATTTTGAAATGAAACCTTGCAACGGTTTACAGTAATTATTATAGTTAGAGTTGAAAAACCTAACCAAAATGAAAAGTAAAAACACAATGATTTTTACTATCTTGAGTTCAAGTCTCACCGAGGTTAAAAGATCTCTTACAGTCAAAGGAACTAAGTAAAATACAGCACAAGTGACTAGAGTCAGAGATTTTTCTTGAAAACACTCTCGCCCTAATGGGTAAGAGGTCCACTCTGGCACAAAGAACACATCAAATTTAACTTTACACTAGGTGTGTGCAAGTAGTCGAGTAACATTGAGCGAGTATTTCAGTATTCGGCTTGACTAAAGCTTTTCAAGGCAATTTGATGAGCCAAGCTTTATAATGAGTTTCCTGGAAGCATTTACAGTATATTTGTGAAGTATGGCAGAATCAAATCACGATCCTTACTCTTGCTAATTTTATAATGTACAGTCAACTAACCTTAAAACATACTGAAATAAAGTTGTTAAAACTGAAAAGAGAAGTATAAATTGGTTTGTACTTTGTGTACCTCAAGGGTGAGATTTGAATATAAATTAAATGATAAGGACGGCTTCAGAGGTCCAGAGGTGACCATACACCCCCCTTGTCAGGAGCGCAAATCTCACTGTCCCTTTCTTCAACCCCCTCCCCACAATAACTTACTGGATGCACACTGGAATAGAAGCACACTAGTTTTATTGTCAACTCATATGAACCATGGGGTATGTTAATTACTCGCACACCCCTACTTTACACCATACACTAATTTTTTTTCACTATCACTAACAGTATTTTCAACCATGGAGAGGAATTATTTGTTAAAAGTTCATTTTTGGTTATTGTAAGTTCATGTTAAGAGATTATTGAGGACAGTTTTCATCAGGATAAAAAAAATAACCTACAGTAAAAAATTGGGTGAAAACTTTTAACTAATAGTGATTGGAAATGTCTGTGATATTTACAGAGTAAGGCTGCATGGTTGTTGCCCATTGTAAAGGTACTTGAGATGTAACAGTGGCATGTGGCTTGGCAGGAACTGTCTCTCCCTGCACAGCTAGGGGAACTGTAGCACTTTGTCTTGTCCTTGGTTTGGGAACTACTTTACTGAGCCTGTGTGTCGGCAGGTTGCGATCCTCCTGTAAACAACACTGTGATGTGGGAAGGGGAAACAGATTGTGTCTAGCAATAAAATTTTACCTTATATTCATTTTAGTATAAAATATTGTAGTTTTTCACAATGGGTATATTATAATGTCCAAAATGATCAAATAGTGAGTTAATGCCCAAAGAAATAAGTTTGGACTATCATTTGACAATATTTAAAAATCAACATTTTATAATAGTGTAAAATACTCTAGTCTTGATTTTTTCTAAAATTTTAAATTTTAATATTAGTTTATGACTCTGTCTATCTAAACACTTGTTTTCGGTAAATGGTTTTGTGTTGAACCCTTATGAAATGAAACATACTTAGATTCCTAATTGAGATTAATGCTTTTTATTTTTTTAAATATTGATTATTGCATTTATAAATCTTGTTAATGTTAACCTTGTTAATGTTTTTGGGTGTTATTCAACACTCAACTTACCCTTACAAGTGTTATTTGAAATTTAGTTTAATCTTTGTTCTGTTTTCCCCACTTTGTACAGTACAGACATAACTTTAAGAAGGATTAGGTAATAAATTAAATCTGGTTTAGTTTAAATCAACTAATACATTGATCAACAAATTTATTGTTAAGTAAAACCAAGCTAAAACTTATACAGCAGGTCCTGGGGAAAGTGTTAGGGCAATGCTAGGCCAACAATTAGAACTATTGCCAACATCTCAGATATAAAGACATGTCTTCAGGTTTATCATGGTTATTTTTTATCAATTGTTAGGTACAGCATCATCCTTTGGGGTGGGACATCAGTAATTGACAAGATATTCAAGTTACAAAAAGAGGCCATTCGAGCAATGTTTAAACTAAAATTTAGAAAATCATGTAAACAATATTTCAAAAATTCTAAACTATTAACTGTACCAGCTCTTTATATTTTTGAAGTTCTGAAATTCTTTAAAAAACATCAACAATATTTTTCAAATAACAGTCTGGGGACTCAGGGTACAAGAAACACAGACACTCTGCGGTACCCTAAACATAGATTGTCTCTTTTGGAGAAGGGTCCATATTACATGGCAATTAAACTGTTTAATCACCTTCCACCAGAGATAAAAAAAGAAAAAAAAACTAACACATTTTTAAAAAAACTGGAAACTCATCTAGCTGCAACATGTCCTTATAAAGTGGACGATTTTTTTTTTTTAAATGAGCACATCTGTCTGAGTCAGGGGTGTTGTACTGTATATATTCTCATTTTTGTTAGACTGTATCTTATCCATTGTATTTGATTTTTTAATAATTAATTGTAATAATTAATTCACACTCTAGCATAATTGACATGCCATCTGTTACATGAGCTATGCTCAAATTTGTAATGTTTTTTATGGCAAATAAAGAGTTTGAGTTTGAGGCCTAACCCCAGAAATCATTATAAAATGACATTTCAATTTGTGATAACTGAAAACAGTTAAAACCCACCTCAGTTTCATCAGAATCGGAAGGGGTTGGAACGGCTGTCTTGAACGGCAAAGCTTGTCCCATTCGTGCCATACGGTTGATCAAATCAACCTTGGTGCTCTTAGGACTACGTGGGGTCTCCTCAACTTTCTGTTCAGATACTTCTGGAAGCGATGGCTCCAGTTTTGGCGTCTCTGTCTCTTGGCTGTGGAAAATAGAGGAAAACAATGAGGCTTGACATGTAAAATTTTTGATTTAATTTTAGCATAATACGTTGGCTAACTGATACGGTAATTTAATTAATTTACAAATATTTTAATACATTATTTTATTTTATTTCAATAATAAGTGTAAGAGTATTTAAAAACTCAATGAATTGTCAATATATATATTCAATAGAAAGAGAAGGTTGTTTTATTTAACAAATGGGAAAATTGAAAGATAATGTAGCAAAGCTCTGAGGTTTGGCTTTGTGTTAGCCTACAAATGGCATGATTAGGGGTGAGTTCTTCAGTTTTCACTCGTAAAACCAAAGCAACTGTCTGGTAAACTGTCATCAAATTATCAAATTTCTTTAGAAATTAGTAAAAAAAATTATATTAAACAAAATAACATAGAGCGGAGTCATTATATTATGGCTGTATTACTTAGTTTACACAGGAAAGTTACTCTAATAACAAATAAACAGCTGCAATATGTTATTTACAATTGCCGATAAAATATTACTATGAAAGGTAAAGGTAAGAACAATTTTTAAGAAAACATAAATGCAATTTGCGTAGCCTAAATACATGAAAGGAGACATTGTCAGTGTTTTTGTTGCTAATAAAGACCAACTCATTGTAAAAGTCACAATGGAATGGTTTCAAGCATACAGTTTAATTTAGTTTTCTATAGCCTAAGCTTGACATACATGAGGGTGATGCAAAAACTTGTACTTACTGTTTTATTTCCTTTGCTGGCGGAACGGGAGGAGGTTCTGGTTGGGGTACTTTGGTAACTTGAAGCACCGTAAATTTGACAACCACAGGACTTTTGTAAACAGACTCGTTGGGATTCAAATCACCCTGAAACAAAATAAATAGGCCTAAAGAAGTGTTTCAGTTACAGAAATAAATACAATGGATTCCCTCATATCTGCATGGTGTATACAAAAATGTTGAATACCTAAAAGAAAATATATCACTGAAACTATTGGTCTAAAAGGTAGATGAAAAAAAAACAATTTAGAATTTGATTTCAAACTTTCTGATTTTGCCCACTAGGTACAGTACATCTTCAATTAACAACTTTTTATATTTGAAACAGTTTTTAAACTTTTAAAAACCATTTAACAGTATTTTCCTCTCAAACTGATGTGATAATAAAGAAAGCATTTAAAAAGTTCAAGGGAAAGCAACATGGCTGTGTAGGAATTTTATTGCACAGATTTAGTTAAGCTGTAACTAACTTTTGACAATAATTAACCAGGTTAGTTCAACCTTTTTTACAAATTTAACTTAGGGTGGCAAACAGTTTCCAAATGTAAACAATTAAGCTTAATTCACAGGACTGATGTGATATTAACAAGAGTTCAACTGACCAGCATGAATGGCTGAAGTATGATGACTCGTTGTGTGTTTAACTGGACTCCAATCAATGCTTGCTTCCACCCTGATGACTCCACTTGAACGTCAATCCGCTGTGGCTGTCCCACTTCCTGCAACAGTCCATTCCTTGGGTCATAAGTATCAGAAACTGACACATACATTGTTATCCCTCAAAGTAATGGGGTAACATATCATCATCAATTATTGAATAACTGTGTGATTGAGGGATCAATATTTAATTTGATTTTACGACACAAGATTTTTTTTAAATCTTCCAACTAGTTAGTTCAGGTTTGCCAGTGTGGTGCCATTTTCTTTGGTGTAGGAAGGATGTCAAAAAATACAAAACGTGTTAATAACTAAAACAAAGACAGAGAGAGAGATGTGTTTTTTTCGCAAAAGCTTCCGATTCTCCCCCTTCCCAAACTAAAAAGATGTAAACAGCTTTTACCTATGACCATTTTTCAAACTAGACTTTTCTATTCAGTTCTTATAATTGAAAAGATACAACGTTGTTTACTTACTTAAACCACATTGTTGCTTTACTTTAAAGCACAGTAACCAATAAGGTTAAAGGATTGAAAGAAAAGAAGTAAAATTGTGATGCTTCAATCACCAACTTATCAGCTGATAACAACCAATTCAATAATTGATCCGCCAACTTCCGCTGGAAACACACACATTCCTTCCTTAACCTAAAAATTGAACTTATCGATTTGCTAACCAACAGTTGCAAGAAGGTTTTTTGAAAATGTCAGATAATTAGTTCTAGTGAAATAAATTCATAGACTTAAGGGCTTTAATGGTTTGTAATAGTCTTTTACCAACTTAAAAAAAGAAACATTATGAGAAAATAATATATGGGCCAAAATTTGTATCGACTATCTTCACTGATAATAATGGTAAGAGATATTTTAATGATTTTGTTTTGATTTAAATGTTGTAAGCAAACTATGCAACATGCAGTATTGCAAGAAAAATTTAATATTTTTTTTGTCTATTTGTAACTGAAACACTACTTGAGTAAGAATGCTGCAAGCCCTACCTATCCTACCTACCCTAAAAAATAGACCCTTACAGAACCTTTACAGAAAAAGAGTACAAGTTATGATGTTTTACAAATGTAATAATTAACAAACGATTGTAGGTAAAGTAGTGTAAGAAACTAGCCTAATTAGCCTTTACGACACTCATAGAAGTTTTTAACTACTTGTGTCGTAAAGACTATCTTTACGCTGTTGTTGCCTAAACTACTATTTTGAAACAATTTCCTATTCCATTTACCATACTTAATTCTAGTTAAATTTAAGAATATTTTCTTTTCCTCACATCCTCACCAGTCTACAAGCTGGATAATTTTATTTTCTTTTTTTTATAAAATTCCTCTATGTATAAATGATATAAATGAATTATATTACTTTTTTGTTGGTGACATCCATTGTTTATGTTCTACTTTTTTCTGCATTCAAATTGTGTCTTATTGCAATATTATCCTACTCAGAATCACTCATAAAGTTTTTCCTGTACAATAAAACTGGTTTTATCCTTATTAAACAAATGTTTATGATTACTTACACAATATTCAAGTTGAATGGAAATCAAATATTTTTAGTTTGTCCAACTCAACATTGAACAAGGTTATACGCTCACTATTTAAGGTTATACTATGGCAATACGCTGTGTGCCATATGGTCCGAAGGCTTAAGTCAATTGTTGATAATGATGTTTTAATGAAAATTTACTTTGGTTGCTTTCAAAGTATTGTCAACTACGGAATCTTATTCTGGGGAAACAGTCCTCTCGCAAGCAGAATACTACTTCTTCAAAAAAGAATAATAAGAATAATTTATAATGCTCCATACCTTGCCCATTGTAAAACCCTTTTTGTTGAAGCAAAAGTCCTTACGGTGCCAGCAATATTTATTTTGGAATCTGCCCTAATAGTTAAGAAGAACCCGAACACGTTTCCACAAAACAATACAATTCACAACTACTCAACAAGGCAAAAAAACAACATTCATCTAAATCAAGTCAACTCAAGTTTAGTAAAGGACGGACCAAAGTTTTTATCAAGCTTAATCTACAACTTGATCCCTCTAAATTTAAAAAGCATTGAAGATCAAGATGAATTCAAGAGGAAATTTAAAGAATATCTATTGAAGAGGCCATATTATTCTGTTGAAGAATATCTAAAAGAAAAATAGGCCAAAAAAACTGAGGACCACGGCGCAGCTGCGCTACCAGTGGGAGATTTGAAAAAAAAAAGAAAAAAAAAGAACATCCCCTTATCATATTGTGTTTCTATAATGACCACTTATCTATCCTTACACTATTTCTCCACCGACCCTAAGACACTCATGATGACTTCTTGCAACAATCTTAATTCTTTCCTTAACACACCTAGACCACAATTGACTTATCAGCTTATCATTTGGTTGAAATAAATACTGAAAAGATCGAGCCAATTCTCATTGTCTACCTAATTGTCCAATTGATTTGAATTTGTTGTGATTGCTTAAGTTAACCTGGGTTTCTGTATTGGGGTGCAGAGTTAAAAGGGGTTTAAATGCATTGCTATACCTGAGTCGTGTTGTCGATAGTTGAGAGTGTGAATGTGAGATCGACAGAGTCCCCCGCTGCAGCTACGGGAGAGTCCCCGCTCTGGACAGGACACCACAGGTCTTGTATTAGGATGGGACTGGTGGAATGTTCAGCCTTCCATCTACACTTGGCCACCTGTACACAAGATACAGAGTGTTCTAGGTAACACAGTGGCTTTTACAAGATCTACTCACTAAACTGCTATAAACACATGTTTTTAAGGAAGCATGGGGAGCGAAATTTGATGTTTTTTGGGAGTAACTTGATGGGAAAAGTAAAGGTTGGAGTTGAAAACAATAGCAACATTTACAATGCATGGTCTTAGTAAATTGTTGTGTTTTATTTATTATGCAACTAATATTTATAAACCTCATTTTTGTAAAAACTTTTTTAACTATCAATTGTCTAAAAAACTACCAATGAGAACAGACTTCATCATCAGTGATGCCATAGAAGATTAGGCGACTCATATTACTGTCAACTTTTTCTGATAGTACCGGTACCAAAAAAGTGTGAGAAATAGATTTTATAAGACTGACCTGCAAGTTAAATTCCACCATGTCTGCAGGGCTGTCAAACAATATAGACCAGATGGTGTTGAGTTTATCATAGAAAGTGCAATAATTCTTGGGCTGGATCTATAAAAAATGTCATAACCTAAATTAAAAACAATCCTCTTTAAATAGGTTGCACCCACTAGTGGAAAAAAATTGAAAACAATTTAGGCTAAGATAATTAATTCTAAAATATGTTGTTGTTTTTTTATTCTTTTACAGCTCTTAAAAAAGCATAAATGTAGTTAGTAAAAACAGCTGAAAGCTACCTGACAGGAGTAGCACCCTAGAAGACAAGCTTAGATTTTATCAAAGTAAAATAGTTAGCAGTTGAAGGTTTGAGTGGTAGCTAGCTATCTTGAGTTTTATCTCTCTGGCCAAAAGACAACACAAAAAATCAACTAAACTGGTTGTATTGCACTTCCCAACTCCGTGAGTTAGTTACGTTTGCACGTTTTAAGTCTGAGTTGTATGACACGTTATTTTTTCCTTCAAATTTGTGAAAATTAGTATTTTTCTTCCAACCAGACATAAAGAAAAAAAATTTAAGATATTTTGGTACCTACATAAGTAACATAATTGAATTGAATAGAGTAAATTTTCTGTGATTTTGTTTGTACCGGTAACCTGAATTTTGGGGTTCTAGGGTAACTTGTATGGTAAAAGTTAAAGCTGGAAACCAGTTTCAACTAGAACATAATGCTTCCACAGTCAAAGTAGAAAGTAGACTCTTGATCTCCAGCAGATGATTAAGACCTTTAACTGGCAAAAGTACTGGTCAAGTGTTTGGATCCATTTATCTTCAGCAATTCATTAATGGGGCAAGCTACAGTTCAACTAGGTTCGAGCTTAGAATCCATCTGAACATCAACCAGTACTTTCAACAGTCTAATGACACAATCTTAACCCGGAGACCAAGATTCAAGTGGAAGAAACCAGTTTGCTACCTCAGGCATTTCCACCTTTCCTAGTCAAAGGTAAACTAAACAAGACATAAATCTAAGTGAAATCAATATTGATGTTGACTTACATGGAAGTTGAACTCTCTGAGTATCCTAGAGTTACACAGATGGTTCTGCTTATCTCGGTACAGCAGGATCTGGTAAGTGGCACCTTCTTCTGACCCAAAACTGAGCACAGCTGCTCCCAACTTGCCTTGGTTCTGGTAAGCTCCATCCACCCTGAGATTTAGGTAGAAAACTATTATTGTACAAGATTTAAAATTATTATGAGAGCAGTTTGGGGATGAACGTTAGCTTGTGGCTGTGTAAATATACAGCTGTATAGTTTAGTCGTGTTCACCTGGTAATCTGAAGGTACCCATGATAAAGGTTGTTGACAAACTAATGGGAGAAAGTATGTGTCAGATTGCTGATACCGTTTATTTTAATACAAAATTTGTGATGGTCCATATAGATGGGATGTCTACTTCATTATCCAATAGTCAATGCTTTAAACTATAAGTCTAGCTGGTAGTCTATAGGTCTATCAAATTGGTAATGGCCATTGGTATTTTTGTCTCCTCGACATGTTAGGAAGCCTTCACATCCCTTTGTGTTTTTTAATCGAACAACATGCAGACAGTGGTCACGAAACAGATATAGAAAATCGTGTGAAAGAGCACAGTGCAAGAGTGATGTGTTTGCCCCCCCCCCCCCCCCCCCATTTACACAAGACCCTTCGAGTCTCGTCACCAGCTTCACTGCTCGAGACATTGGCTGCAATTCTCTCTCACTCTTCAATTCTAACCTCACTTACGATGTACGGTTCTAGATTTTTTTTTTGCGAATTTCCCTATAGGGAAGTAGCTATTACCGTAGGTCTCATGGTAAGACCTAGGCCCGGGACCGATTTACTTTTTCATTTTGATGTCCTCAGAGGCCAAAAACACCATTCGTTCAAATTGTTATATATGTATATATATATCTATATACAGATATATATATATATATATATTTATATTTATATAGGTATGTGTCCATCCGCACGATAACTTGAGTAATTTTTGTCCGATTTTGATAAAATTTGGTTTGAAGGTGTAAGGGGGGATAAACTTGAACGAGTTCGCAAACCAGCATGATCGGACTATGAGAACGGGTGTTTATGGGGGGTTTTATGGGGTAAAAATAGGGTTTCCCCTTTTTGGCCCAAAAAACATAAAATTTAGCAATTTCTTTCCAAACCATTTTGTAGAGCTTAAAAAAACAAATGATTTAGTATATTGAAGCGTTATTATGCGCCTTATGGTTACGGAGAAAATTCCTAAAAAATGTAAATTTAAAATTCCCATGTTATTCTTATGGAGAACAAGTAAACTGCTTGTTTATGAACATATTTTGATCAAATTAAATTTTGAGAATGTTTTTATTTCTTACTACCAGTAACTGTTAACATAAAAAATACCCCCGCCGCAGCAAACCTGCCGACTAAGCGAATTTCCATTTGCCTGAATTGATTTTCAATTGAATGTATTTAATTAACATTAGGTTTTATGAGTACCTAGGCTTGGTGCTACAGGGAGGGTAAAAAAGTGTATTTTTTGTAAAATATGAATAACTTTGTATAAAATAAATAAATTTACCAAGTTTGATTAAAATATATCCATAAACAAGCAAACTACAACATTTTACAATATTCTCCATAAGAATAACATAGGAATTTTAAAATAACATTTTTTTGAATTTTCTCCGTAACCAATAATTGTACAAAAACACTTGGATATACTGAATTATTTCTTTTTTTAAGCTCTTTAAAAAGGTCCGGAGAGAAAATGGGAAATTTTGTGTTTAGAGGGTAAAAAATTAGAAAAACCAATTTTTACCCCATAAAACCCCCCGTAAAACCCTGTTCCCATGGTCCGATCATGCTGGTTCGCGAACTCATTCAAGTTTATCCCACCTTACACCTTCAAACCAAATTTCATCAAAATCGGACAAAAATTACTCAAGTTATCGTGTTCACGGACACATATATATATAAATCTATATATATATATATATACATATATAAAAATTTAAACAAATGGTGTTTTTGGCCTCTGGGGACATCAAAATGAAAAAGTAAATCGGTCCCGGGCCTAGGTCTTACCATGCCACCTACGGTAATAGCTACTTCCCTATAGGGAAATTCGCTAAAAAAAACAGTTTTACCCTCCCTGATGCAGCAAACCTAAGTACTTGTTAAACTATCGACATTTTAGTGTAAGCCCAACCAGGCAAATGGAAATTCGCTTAGTCTGCAGGTTTGCTGCGGCGGGGGTATTTAGTTTGATGTTAGATTGCTGTAACATTCTAAAACAATTAAGTTAGAACTGGAAAATTTCTTAAATTTCTTTTTACCTTGAGAAGGTATCACAATTGTAGTTTCTAATTAGAATGTCTGGAAGTGCCTCATTTTGCTTCTAAGATCGCACAGTGCGTATTTTACACAATGAAAGGTTTTCTGCGGTCCAATTTTGTGCCTGTATTTTTCAAAATATCAATCTACTTCCGGATTGCTTTATACAATTTTGAAAATAAGTTTGACAATGTCTAAATTTGATGACTTTCTATTGAGAAAATAAAAAAAAATATTTAAGCTAGCAAAATTCTTAAAAAGCATCCTATTTTTTTTTTTTTTTTTGTCCTAAGACGCTAGGCACGAACCTGGGATTGTTTTTCACATTACTTCAGGCTAGACCTAGGGGTTGCGGCATTATCACTTGGATAAAATCCATTGGTGACTTGGCGGGGATCGAACCCGGGACCTCAGGGACTGAAGTCCCGCGTTCTAACCACTACGCCAGCTCGCTCCCCCGCGAGCAAAAGCATCCTATAGCACTTGAACAATTCTTGCTATGAATAGGCATATATTAAATTTATAATTATCATTTAATTCTTGGGGCGTCTATATGGGACCGCGTGAGAGCTGTTTTTGAAAATTTGCGGCTGGGTGGACTCAGGTTATTGTCAAGACAGACTCTAATTTGAATATATTAGGTTACCTATAATGTACCTTGCTCGATAGGCTTCCTCGGTCACAATGTAGAATCGTGGTCTTCTGGCGACGACTGTGTCAAAATTGTTTTGTCAAAAGTCAGTGTTTTGTCGTTTTTGAAACGATTGTCACCAGAAGACCACGATTCTACCTATAATGTAATACACCTTACCACACTCACGAGAACAAACAATCTGCATCTTGAATATAAGATCATTAGGCTAATTAGTCTTTTGTTAGACCAAATTTTAAAATACAATTTCGAAAAGTAATTAAAGAACTTATGGAAGTTTATGATTACAGAGTAGGAATTTGTTTCTAATAGGTACAAAATGTTAGGCGTTGAATGAAATCTTGAATAACATTCCATAGAAAAGAATTTGATTGGATCATTAATCTTAATTATTGTTGAATAATAGGCCTATATCCTATCAAGAAAAACATAATTTTAGTGAAGTTTATTTTCTAGTCCAACAAAAGTAAATAACTTACATTTTGAATGTTTGAACTGTTTTGGCACACAGAAGACTTGATGATCTCCCGGAAGACGAAGGGGCCGCGATGGTGCTTGGTTTGTTTTGTCGCCGAGGCTGCTTCGGAGGTGTGTATGTCAAACTAGAATTATTTTCTCCACCACTACCAGCATTGCCAAATATAGATGCCAAGTTTGAGTGATAACTGAAAGAAAGTACTTAGTGATACAACTAAAAATAAAATTCACTTAGGCAAACCTCTCATTTTAAATACAAAGCAATCATGGTAATTATATCTACCTCCGCACCTCGCCCAAAATTAAATTTTTTCCCAAAATGGTTGAAATTTCAACTGATTCAAAAGATGATTGTTGTTTTTTGTGGGAACGACCTGGAAATTCAGAAAAACCCGAAAAAGAATAATTTTCGGAAAATGACATTGTGGGTAGCCTACTCAAATGCTACTAAGTTCAAATATCGCTGGAAAAGTGGGCCCTTGCTAGCACCAGCGTGCGGGTGACTCCTACGCCATTGTGGAATGTAAGCATTGTTTTGTAAGGATAGGTTTAGTTAGTTTATTAATGAAATGGGTATTGTAAGTAACCTAGCCTTAACAAGTTATCCTAACCTAACCTAACCTAATAAAACAATGGCTTTACATTACTAGCGTAGGAGTCACCCGCATGCTGGCTTAGGGGTGGCAAACTAGTAGCCAACGGCCCGTTTTTCTGGCGATATTTAACTTAGTAGCAGTACGATCGTAATAAAAATGAGATACTCTTGTCCAGGATGAGATCTTGAACAATTTTTCGAGTAATACCCTCAATGTCATATTCCATTTAAAAAATCGGGTTTTCCCCAAACACTTTTAAAATTTGAATTTCGGGTGAAGTACGGAAGTTGATATAATTACCGAAATCATGACTGTGTGCAGTTTGTAGGCTAGGCCTATGATGTTTCTCGGTGCTGCATATAAAAAAAAAATCTAAAGGTGTTTTGCCGCAAGGCTCTGTAACATAACTTATTATAATAAACACCAAGTAACTTAGTCTGTATAAAAATTTAAAGGTACTAAGTTTAAGTCAATCATGTATAGCCTAAGTTACCTAGAATTAAAAGGATTAACAAGGACAAAAATTAAGTTACTCAAGTTAAGTTATAGCGTTCTTGGATGTATTTAAGAGGCTGCACAATTTACTTAGTATCCGTCCTACACTCATTCGAATGAAATTTTCAATATATATCGATTGGGCCTATTACATTCCATACCCTTTATAAGTTAAAGTTTGGACATAAGTTTTAGGCCTAACCTAACTTAAACCAAATGAAATAATTGAATAGCCTACTCAATATATTCATTCGAATGAGTTTAGGGCAGATACCAAAGTGCAGCCTATATATCTAGGTGTATATTATACAAATATATCATAGTATATAAACATTTGAACGAATACTGTAGCGTTTTTTAGCCTCTAGGGACATTAAAATAAAAAAGAAAATTGGTCCCGGCTCCAGGTCCTACCGTGCTACCTACGGTAATAGCTACTTAATTATAGGGAAATTCGCTAAAAATTAGACCCCTTAAAATTAAGATATTGTAAGAACTTAAGTTAAAACAAACAACTAAGGGCCAACCTGTCCCAACCCCAACACTGAGGTTGTGGACTTTTTCACATAAGAAACAAAGTAGATGCAACAAAGCCCTATACATATAATATAAAAAAAACCTCACAAGGCAAGTGATAAAACAATGGTAAATTTCCACTATGTGCAGAGTAAATAAGCCCATGTTTGTTTACCTAGGCTACACTAATAAACTTTGTAGGCTAGGCCTAGCATTGATTTCTTACTTGGGATTGGGGTTGAAGTCATCATCATCATCTTTGTCCCTCGAAAACAACATGTTAAAATCAGTGCAATTATAAGTTTGAAATTGTTAACTAATATTAGAACAAATAATTACGTAATGATTAGTTTTTTAGTAAATTCCCTTGGACATTTGTCGTCTGTTTAGAAAGAAACTAGAGACGACGATATGAATTGGAGATAAGAATACTAAGGGAAGGTTGAATCATTGTTTTCTTACGACTGCCAGGTAAACTTCATAGGGTTTTAAACTATGCAACTGTGAAGTTAATTGTTATCAGTTCAACTACAAAAAACCCAAACATCATACTACAGTCTAAAAATACTCCCTTTTTAGATTTGTCATCCTTATGGATCAGCTGAAGACAATTTTATTGTTTGTTCCGTCCGGTGCATTTTCTGGACAAAATCCGTTATGTACAGTACCTAACAACCCCAATGTCTACGAGATTAGACTCCTCCTCTATGTTTACCAGCACATCGTGCGGCAAAAGACGGACCGGAAACAGTCAGGAACGGGTATACCCTCGGGGACGATCCCCTACCCCTACCCACAGCCGCCTTTAACTACAGGCCGCGGTCTGGTAGAATTGGCAACGTCGCAAGTGGTGTTGTTTAGTGACAGACGTCCCATAAGATAACATGGCAGACAGGCGACATCAGCTCATTAATTTCTCACTTTATTGATTTAAATTTAAATTTATGAACATGATTTTATTAAAATATTGAAAATAAAACATACAGAATTGAAAACTGAAACAATATGAAATGAATTAAAAAAAAAATGAATGAATTTAAAATGTATATCTGTACATTTTTAAGCGGAGTCAATATTGTCATAGTCATGTAATCAATCTTTCGTAAATACACAAATACCATTAGCTGATTCAAACAAAACAGCTGTTACAACACCACTTGCGGAAGGCCGCGGCCTGGAGTTAAAGGTGGCCGTTGTCCCGACCTCCGTTTGCCCAGCACTATGGATACATGACGTGCCGGGGGTCGCCTGTTGCTATGCAGAGTCCAACCTCTGCATATTAATGCACTTGATCCTAACCTATGGCCTGAGGGGGCTCTGGTGAAGAAATTCAAGCCTAAATTTAATGGTGTTGGTCCCAGGACTGATAGTAGCGTTTTTTTAGAATAGACAATAAAAGTTCTAAGAAAACCGGTTTGACAGTTGCAGCCGAGAACCCGCGAACTAACCTCGGACATTCTACGGGCATAGTAAAAATGTTCAGTGTAAATGCTCAATCGCTTATGGACAAACTGAGTGAGGTGGAGTATATTTTAAGCAAAAATTACCAAATCTTCTGTGTATGCGAACATTGGTGTACTCCGGACACTATGGACTATGCCACTATACAGGGCTTTGTTTGTGCTACTACTTATTGTAGGTCTATTATCACCAAAGGTGGCGTGGCAATCTATGTTAGTAATGATTGTGACTATAAAGTGCTTAGCGTCAACAATGTTTCCAAAGAAAGGGATTTCGAGGTTGTTGCTGCTATTGTGACCTATGATAACTTTAAGTTCATTGTAATATCTGTTTATAGAGTTCCAGATGGAAACCTCAATATATTTCTTGAGTCCTTGGAAAATATAATTGTATCCCTGTCAAAGTATAACCTACCTATTGTGATCTGTGGTGACATAAACATTGATGTATTGGTGGAAGGTATACCACAAAAAAATTTGGATAACCTGCTCAGGTCAGTAGATTGCCACTATACTAACAAGGAACCTACTAGAGGGTTAAAATGTCTGGACAATGTGATCACTAACCTCCCTAGAGACAATATTCATGTTAATGTTTCCCTGCCTCCTCTCTCTGACCATGCTGGTTTGATTGTGGAGGTCATGTTTACCCAAGCAGGCACTGATAAAGAATTAGGCCTACACTCAAAAATTGACTCAAGACTATTTAACAAAGCAAATGTTGCTAACTTTGTTAAACACGTGTCTGCAATTGACTGGTCGTTTCTTAATAACGTATCTAATGGTAGGTCTTTTGAGTTATTCATGGAAAAGTTCCGTGAAAAACTAGATTTATGTATTCCCATCAAACCGGTAAAGAAAAATCCTCATGTAAAGCGCCGTGGAACTGGAAATGCTTGGTTCACAAATGACCTCCGTCAGCTTCGTGAAGAAACTTTAACATGTTACCATAATTTATTATGGGCGTCCAAGTACAACATCAATGTGGGATTCTTCAAGCAGACCTACATGGATGCTAGGAAGGACTATAAAGCAGCCATTAAAGATGCTAAACTTCACTTTAACGCCAAGTTTATCGAATCGTCCTCCAACAAATGTAAGACAGCCTGGTCCGTTATAAATTCAGCCAGGATTAGCTCCAGCAAGGCGGGCGTTGTACCCATAACTGCGGATGAATTCAACCATTACTTCATCTCATCTGTGGCGGATGTTCAGAAAACTGTCAATCTCAATCAACCTGCTTCTACTTACCTGCTCAACAATTTTGCTGTACCCGAGGTCACCTTCAGATGGAAGCCAGTGAGTTGTGATGATGTCGCAAAGTTGATACTAAACATGAAAAGTGGAAATTCCAAAGACATATATGGTATCAATAGTGATTTTGTAAAGGAAGTGGCCCACTGTATAGTGGCACCACTTACACATTGCATAAATGATTGCTTCACTAGTGGTGTCTACCCCTTGTGCCTGAAATCCTCAAAAACTGTACCAATCTACAAGAAAGGTGACACAAGTTCTCCAGGAAGCTACCGGCCGATCTCTGTGGTGCCTTGTTTTTCCAAAATCGTTGAATCAGCAATGAAACACCAGGTAAACGATTTTTTTGAGACAAATTTTTTGTTTTCCAAATTTCAGTTTGGTTTTCGGAGAGGGCTGTCTACTGTGGATGCGGTCGAGAGCCTTGTACAGAAGGTCGTAGATGGTTTTGAAAACCACTCACACACTCTAACAACTTTATGTGACCTTACCAAGGCTTTCGATTGCGTTCCGCATGAGATACTCCTCACGAAATTAAGGCATTATGGCATTGTTGGTGTGGAGCTTAGCCTATTTCAATCTTACTTAGAAAATCGCTCGCAGAGAGTTTTGTTCAATAATGCCCTCTCTGACGTAGCTCTGATCAAAAGTGGAGTACCGCAGGGTTCGGTACTGGGCCCATTCTTGTTCCTTGTACATGTAAATGATCTCTCTTCAAACATAGATGTAAACTCAGTTGTCTTTGCAGATGATACAACCTTTTTTTGTACTGGTTCTAATGTAAATAGTCTTATATTGTTAATGAATAATGCTCTAAATGATGCTAACTCTTGGTTTGAAACAAATGGGTTGCTTTTGAATGACTCTAAAACTCAGAATATTTTATTCACTCTTGGTAAACCTGATCTTGAGCTTTTAGATGTGGAAAAAAATGTCAAACTTCTGGGAATCTGGCTTGATTCTTCTCTCTCTTGGTCTTCCCATATTGAATCCCTGTGTGTTAGGCTCAACAGGGTAATTAATCTGTTAAGAAAACTTAGAAATCTTGTACCTAAGCCATATCTGAAGATATCTTATTATGCTTTTTTTAATGGCATCTTGAGTTATGGTCTGTTATTGTGGGGAAATGGAGCAGATGTCAAAAAACTTCTTGTGCTACAGAAAAAGGCCGTTAGGATTGTAAGTGGTGCGCCCTTGGATGCACATTGCAGGCCTCTGTTTCAGTCTGAACAAATACTGACTATTGTAAATATGTATATATTTGTCTGCTTGGTACGAGTTAAAACAAAACTAGAGAGTTACACGTGTAGAAGCTCGGTGCACTTGCATGTGACCAGAAACAGTAATCTGCTAGATTTACCTTTTGTGAGACTATCCAAATCAAAAAAGTGGTTTAGTAATGTAGGAATATCAATGTTTAATAAACTTCCTAGCACAGCACGTAATGTTAGCATGAGTAGGTTTAAGCATGTTTTGCATGAGTGGCTTGCTCAAAGGCCCTTTTATAGCCTAGAGAGTTATTTTCAGGAGGATTTTAGTAGCATGTTATTTTGACATGCCAACAATTACTCAATGCCTGTAATTCTCTTATTTATTTGCATGTTGAGTATGACCATATGATCTGTATGAACAATTGTTGACCTTTTACTGTCTTGTTTCTGATAGGCTCGATGCTTGCATAGCTACATTTTTATTTTTTGATCTATTATGACTGCCCAGACAAATGTTTTGTCTATTCATGTTTTACCGGATCTAGTTTTATTTTCTTGGTTAAACTTGAACCTCATTTGTTGTTGACTTTGTCATATGCATGTACCTTGCAAATTACGGCAATAAAAAGTTTCTGATTTCTGATTTCTGATTTCTGATTTCTGCATCCATTCCGCACTTTCTGACCAAGGACCGAAAGTGGCTAGCTCCTCACGACCCACTGAGAATACCCATCGGCAGTGCAGAGCACACATCAACCCCTGCAACACAACAGGGGCACTCTCAGGGACTCCCATTTAGAACGTCAGTCAGCCTTAATCTCAGATAGCTCAGAGGTAGGGTAAGAGTTTCATAAGTTGGATGAGGTATCAGGTACGAAACCCATCTGTGTAAATTTTTTTCTAGTTTTTTCAAAATTTGTTTTATGAACTATTAAATAGTTCATAAAACAAATTTTGAAAAAAACTAGAAACAATTTTACCCAGGTTAAATTTTAATCAAAATACTCAATTGATAAATGTGTTTTCAGACTTTTTATGTATGATATGGGATAAGGATTTGGGTGGACATAGGGATATCCCAGGGAGTTCCCAAGGGACCCCAGGAAACTCTAAGGACTTTGAGGGATTTACAGAGGATATCCCCCATATCCCACTGGGATATCCCCAAAGACATTCCAAGGATCTTCGTGTGTTGTGTGGGTTATAGTCAATCAACAACTTATTTAAGTTAAAACTGTGCATTTAAAGTTATTTTGAAACATTATCAATTATTGATTTGACACTAATAACTTATTTTCCACTTTTCAATCTATCATTAATGGTAAAAATAGTTAAGTTTCCTGGTTTGGACATATTGGTTTAGGCCTGGGGGTGTTTTATCTATGGTATTAAGTAAACGGTATAACTCAATATTTAAAAAAATACGTTAGGATAATTTTATACTCCCCCGTTGGTAAAGAACTGTAACCATCTCATCTTTATTTCTTAACATAATAATGATTTGTGAAATAAGCTTAATAATATAATAATCTATGCATAGTTAAAGTAAAAGTGAAAGTAGTCGGCGTGGTGGCAACACTGCTCCCTTCAAATCCGTTACTGCACTATCAACTACCGACTACCGTTCTTCCAAACTGCCTTACCGACAGTAGTTCCTACATTCTACACCAGGAGCGCTATCGTGTCATCGCAATCTGCGATAGTGCGATATCTCTCCAGCGTTCCGTTCCAGTCCAGTCAAACTCAAACAGTGTCGTTTCGACACCGATTGCAGACGGTTCGCGTGTCATTCTATTTACATCACGTAGGCCTATTTTTGACAGTGTCGTCTGCTAGGGCAATTCCCATTCGCGATTGGTTCGTAGTGGCATTGTTGCGTGTGTACCGATATTCTAGTGAAGTGCAGGTTATGTTGTGAGTGCTAGTGTATGGAATCCCATGTTCCATGTTGCTTCAGTCTGCCTGGACCTCTGGAATACCCCCTGACCAGGAAGGAGCTGTAGGAAGCCTGGGGGAAGTTCAGGATAACCTCAAGCCAGGATGGACCGTGCACGTCACCCATGACAACCGTCTATATTATTGCAAGTGAGTAAACAAACATTCTTCGTGGAAGGTAAATTTTTAACTTTATAAAAATATTTACAAAATGCAATTCCTGAAATGCTATATTTTTACGAAACGTTGTTATAATCATTATAATAAGTATTTGTATAACGCAAGATTTGCGTTTTGCATCAGAATAAAATTACGTTTGCCATCAATGTCCCTGCCTCCAAAATAATGAGTTTATATCCACCCACTATGTAAAACTGATTTGTTATGATTGCGTTTATGAATGTATGAACTTTATAACAATACATTAAACTATGCATTTTTCTGGCCGTGGTACAGTGTCACTGTATTGCATATTGTTTTTACCAATTGTTATTACAATTACATTTTACAACCAAAATTAGCATTTATAATGACATAACATAATCAAAAGTCATAAGCCCTGCCGTATGCTCCAAACGGTCGAATGTTAACAATTAATTAATTTTAGAGCTAAGAAATATATTTATGAGCTCTCCAGTTAATTTACTTGTTGGTTTTGAACAAATATAAAGCAAACTCCAAATGCCACTGTTGGCGTGCACGTGTATTAAACCGACCGAGGTTTTATGTAAATGAACTGGAATATCGCTGCGATTAGGTCTTTACTTATTAAAATATCAAAGTCATACATTTATCTTTGTAGCAGAGATTAAACGGTGTTTTACATTATTAAATTATTATTCTTTTGGTGTCACGTATTTATTATTTATTATATCACACGTGCGTGTGATAATAATTTTAGTTAGCATAGCCAATGTATCAGTTAGAGGTACCGGTAGGTAAGGAAAATTAAGAATTTTGATTGCAAAGTTAGAGGTTTATAATATAACAAACAATTTATTTCAATTGTAAAGTGTGTTTGTAAACATCGTCTACCGAAGGAGTCAGACTGCGACCAAGAGCCAGTGGCAACAGCCTTGTGGTAGTCCGTTCTACACTCAATACTCTCTAATTAACCTTTCACCGGATCCTGTTCCTCGTAATATTCTCTTGTTAACCTCTTCTGTCTCTCGCACAGCTAAACGTGCTTTGAACACAAACGTTGACCGGTGTTTCAGTTTTCCTTCATTGAAGGGGTTAATTTATTTCAATTGAGGTTTGGATTTTAGTTTCTGAAATTTAAAACCTTTGTTTCTATATAAAATGAAACTACAGCTTTTCCTAGCGATTCTTAATAAGATTTTTGTTGGTGAAACTTTTAAAGACAATTGACTCTTAAATACTGAAGTAGACATCCCATCTGTGTGGACCAGTATACCAATTCGTTTATAAAAATAACAACGAATGAGACACAAACCGTGTGCAAAAGTAATCATTGTTACAGTGGTAGTTGATGCGACATCCTAAGCCGTTTTTCAGAGACACAATGAGATGGAAATCAGCAGTTTTCGCCAAAACTCTGTCGGTGACGAATTCAACTTCGTTCACGATTCTAAAACTATAGTTCGGCCGCTTAGAAAGCGACCTCCTCCAACATTGGTTTATCATTAGCGCGCAGGTCGTTTTCTAAGCGGCCGAACTATAGAAACAGAGTATCGACAGCATGTCTAGTTTTTTCCATAGTCAAAAGATGTAGCGCAAAACAAGATGTTATTTAGTTGTAAACACATGTATTTGGGATCCAGAATGTGGAGAGGGGTATTTTGGTTCCGAGCCAAAGCCAAAAGACTGGTTTAATCGAGCAAGGGATCTTTTGTAGTAGCCGGCCTTGGGTTGTGTAAGATTCAATGGACCTATTGAAATCAAAATGAAGAAATCATTCTGTATTTTTATGGCTGTATCTATTTTAAAAGGAAATGTCAAAGAACACTTGATGACCACAAATCCAACCTAAAGGTGAGTGAGCGTAGCGAGCGAATTGTAGTTATAAATGCACCTCCAAGTGATTTCTTAATTTCGTAACGGTTAATTGATTTAACATTTGACAAGTGAAATCAACTATCTGACTCATTTTCATGCTATTAGAACTTTAATGACCAACAGGTAAAAATAAATCATCTATCCTACTGAAAAAAATGAGTACAATATTCATGTCTTTGACAAAAACAACACTTTTGGTGGTATGCACGAGTTGAATATTTCTCTTCATATAGATCCGGAGCGCCAATATCTCCACCCCAGCAATATGTAGCTAGAGATTAACTCCCCTCTTGGTATCCACTCGTCGCATTTCTAGCTCAACCCTCCCCCCCTCGAAAATGCGTCATCACGACAAGTTGAAACTTTCCCGCGGAGAGTTATAAGGGTGAACCAAGATGCTCTTTTACTGTTGATTTTGTTTTTGCACAACATTTTTTCCTATTTTATGTTAGTTTGACAATTAAATAATAATAAATTAAAATAATCTTTTTTATTTAAAATAGTTTAAAGTTGTAAAGGTATTTTGTATAGTATATAGGTGGCCATGCGAGAGCGTATTATAAGTTACATTATTATAAGCGTATCATTGTTTACATGGGACTGTTAAACACAAACAGTTGTATTTTCAAGTTTAAATACAAAGGATTAAACTAAAAAACTACTAAAATGAGCATGGTCATGGTCACACCTAAAACCGGATCTAAAGGTTTATTCATTGTAGGCCTACACAATTAACGAGATTAATTTATTATCCGTCGTAATTAAGTTTGTTTTCAGAATAGTCCTCTACAGGCCAATTATTATCGAGATCCAAGTTTTGCTGGTGTTTGTTGTGTGTATGCTCCTGTGTCCACCGAAAAAGGTTTTATACACGAATAGTTCGTGGTTTCATAATGATTCGTGTTCACGAGAAAAGGGAATTGAGACTAAATAGGAATAATTCATAATTAAATAATTTTTGGGGTCCGAGGATTAAACAACTCATTGAAGGAGTAACTATTTTACTCTGTCACATACAGGGCGCGTAGCAAAAAATAAAATGAAAAAATTAGGAATGAATAATATTTATTAATCCGTCTCGTATACGATTGTTTAGTGGGAACACATATATTGGAATTATTGCTTTGTGTAATGAAAGCCCAATAACGCCTCTTTGAGGGTTTGTATTTAGAATTATTTCAACATGGTTTGAATATCATGAATTTAATACGGTAAAATCTCTTTGAACACGAGTAAAATAAAATAAAGTTTATCACTTCTGTTGATAAACCGATTATCGTATAAATTGTCTCCGAAAAACGTCAAGGGGATTCAGTGAATATGCTATGTCCATTGAATATGCCTAGCATAGGTGATATCCAGTTACACAATTCTAAACATATTTAGGCCTATACATTTCAAAAATTTAACGAGCCGATTTAATGGTATGGGCCATTGTTATGGAAATAACTAGTACTTCTCTTTAAAGCCACTAGCTACTTACTATAGTATACCACATTGAGTGGTTTTGGCTTTTAAGGGATAGGCCTAATAAGCATGAATTATTATAAATTGATCAACATTATGATTTCTAAAGTTGCTTATACCACTAATTAGCCGCTGATATTTTTATAGCTTAAGGTTGGTAACTGGTACCATACACGAATCCTGTATATTAATAGGGAAGCATGTTTCTTGAAAACCTTTTTCCAAAACAAATGGAAAACATTCCAATCACATGCTCGTATGCATCACAGGGGAAATACTGTACACGCATGCTATAGGATAACAATTAAGCATAAAAAAATAAATTAAATTATTAAAACATTAACATGGACCTTATGGGTTGCCATGCTGGTGACAAAAAACAACGAAATCTAGGCCTATTATATTATTAAAGTGATACAATCAAATTTTATGTAAACGGTCAAGGCCATTTACCAAATAAAAATATAGATATATTGCACATCAAAATAAAGCTTAGAGTGTGTAGATTTGCCTAAAAGTATTGATATGGACGAATTTCCTAAGGGCTCTGCCCCACAGGCTGATTTCCAAAGGGCTACGCCTGGCATGCTTCCAAAGTTGACATGATTTAATTTAATTCAGTTACTGAAACAGCTGGTCAGTACAATTAAGTGGTGTTTGTTTATTTACTCGAAAAAGATGTTTGTGACGCTTTATGTAGATTTAGGAGGGTTATGTTTGGTTTTAAAGAAATGTGTATACGTTTTGTAAAGTATTGCTAAAAGTTTCATTTTGTAATTGATATAATAAGCTACATGTAAAGAGGCTTGACTGAAGTTGAAGAATACATTATGGTAAAACATGTCATTTGTGAAACATCAATATGAAGCAATTCATGTTATTGCTACACTAAGGTATGTTGTCATATTCTTTTGGATCTATCAACATAAAAAGTCGGGGTTGAAAGTAAGTAGGTTTACACTTTTAAATCAGTTTATTTTCAAACTAAATCATAGAGTTGCCGTATTTTAAAACACATATCAGAATTACTTTAATAGCTCTCTAGGTCACATTTTATTCCCGTTGCAAAGCACGGGTATAGCAGCTTGTATACACATAAAATCAAAAGAAATGGAAGAAATTCCAATCATATGTTTTATTTACAGTGTGGGGTGAAAATAGAGAAGTCTGTACATTACATAGTATTTTGGTCAAGTTTTCGACCACTGGACGACCTCTAGTATGTATTACTATACAGTTGGACACATTATTTTACGTATATTTTTCCATTTGGCCAACTTCCCAGCAACGGTACAGTATAGTCAATTGTGGGGTTATATTAGTTTAGTGGTCTCAATGCACTCTCAAATGCATGTCTACATTCGACGGTTGGTGTCGAATGTACCGGTAGTATACCGACGGTTGGACAATGCATGTCTCAATTTAATGCACATGATAGTGATCTCCTAGTAATCACAAGGTCGCCGATTCGATGTAGAGAAAATGTATTAGGAGTTTGATAGTTTGAAACGACACCCATCTGTCATTGGGCTGCCTAAATAATATAAATAAATGCTCAGGCTATATAAACATGGGATCTTCGTCACTCGTCAGTAACGAAACTACACAAGGCATCTTTACATCACAAAATCATTCTTCAATCATATTTAGATTAAAATACGCCA